TCCTGCCCGTTTAACTAAATGACAATATTTCTGTGAACTGTGTCGGGTCTCAACGTGCCGTACCGTAGGTGGAAAGGCGTTACCGAAAGCTGTTGTAAAGCATTTTTGCATATGACACGTGCAAGGCTATCTAGAATTTAAAATCAAATGTTATTCTTCAAGTTAAAGAACGCAAGAGAATTTAGCCATTTTAGTTTCGAGGTCATTTCACCTTATTCTTGTGAATAGTTAATGGGAGTGACTTGCTGCCTTCAGGTTTGCTTGTATTGCACAGGATGATTGGGGGCCTACAGGAAAGCTGGAGAGGGACTTTTGACAAGGGCATGTAGTGATAGGACAAGGGGCAATGGCTTTAAACTGAAAGAGGGCAGATTTAGATTAGATCTAAGGAAGAAATTTTTCCCTCTGAGGGTGGTGAGGCACTGGCACAGGTTGCCCAGAGAAGCTGGGGCTGCCCCATCCCTGGAAGTGTTCAAGGCCAGGTTGGATGGGGCTTTGGGCAACCTGGTGTAGTGGAGGATGTCCCTGCCCATGGCAGGGGGGGTGGAACTAGATGATCTTTGAGGTCCCTTCCAACCCAAACCATTCCATGATTCTCTGAGCCTACGAAAGAAATTGCTCAAATTTTCACCCGTTTTCTTTTCTTATTTCTATGATACTCTTACAATGCTATCCACAACTTGTTCCAAGGACATTGGTTGTTGTAAAGCTGTTAGTGCACATACCTGTTGTCTGTTTTATGCAGGTAGAGAATGTTAAACTCAGCAATTGGAAAATAGTTGAGTGCTAAGGGAATAATGAGTTTTCTTTCCATGTTTACGAGTAATACGTTTTTCAACTTAAACACACAATGAAGGAATAGAAACTTAAAATTTGTATGAGTTGTTGTTGCCGTATGAAAAATGAAGCTCTCATGTTTATGACACCTGACAGTATTAAATCTCTGATGATATTTCAACTAATATATAAAGTTTCAGTTATGTGTTTGTAAATAACAATTGGAAAATACTGCAGTACTCTGCAATAATTACCCCTGGATTTCCAACTCTCAAAACATTTAGTTATCAATATTCCCCAAAATTCTTTAAAACTTAAAAATATATAAAGTGTTATACACTTACTAAAAACACGATCTAACATTCTACTACATTTCTGAACAGTATTACTTTTAAGATACCATTATCATGTGCTTTTGTCTTGGAAGGTTGCAAACCATGCTCAAAATACTATGGACAGAAACTGTAATAACTCTAGCTTCATGGCATTTTTACAATAAAAATGTAAAGAACACACATTTTCCACTAATACGAAATAATTAAACCCCTATTGAGTCACTATTAAGATCATCTTTAAATTTTAGTAAAAACTTGATACACAATAATTAAGCCCCTATTGAGTCACTATTAAGATCATCTTTAAATTTCAGTAAGAAAAAAAGGTTTCTAATATGTTGTCAATTATAGATATGTCATTATATATGTTAATATCAGGTTGTTTCTTTCTGGTCATTGCAGAGTTGCACATTCCTGTTTGGAATTAGCTGATTTTTGTCTTTTTCTAGTGAAGAACGAATGTAGGTTTGTAAAGGAATACCATATATGTCACATTTTCAGCTGGGCCTGAAGTAACTCAATGAAAATTTTAGAAAATTTCTTTCTGGTAGTTCCAGAGCATCTGTGGGAGGTCCTGCAGTGTCCAAGAGCACTCGTATTTATTTTATTTTGTGTGAAGGACACTCATTGAGTTGTATCTTTAAACCCTTTACCATACTTTGTATGTTCACTACTCTGTTTAGGTTTAAGGGTGGATATTTACTGCTAGGGTTGGTCAAATTACTTTGGATTACAATTGAAAGGGAAATGACTTTAAAAAACAAAAAAGCATTCCTTAGGAAAGAAAAAATAATTCTATTTTTTTAATTGTACAAAAGTGAACTAATATTTACCGTTAAGTCTCCAACCTTTCAGAGCCGGAATGGCCAATAACAACCTGAAAGGTCCAAACATACCTGACCTCCTTCCCCTGCTGCCCCGTGACATGTCCTGGAGACCTGATTTTGCCCTTGATGCAGAGTCCAGTAACCATGTCGGAGCTTTTGAGTTGCCCTTAGTGCCAGCCTGAGCCAATTCCTAAGGCTGTGCTTCTCCAGAACGCTCCGTGTTAAGTATTTTTCCTTAAAGAAGGGCTTGACAGCTTCTCCCACCCATGTGAGTTACAACAGCCTTACGGGAAGAGTAAAGGTGTATTACTGGACAGAGTAACTGCCTCCTTGGCGTTGGGTTCTCTGTGGTTTACTGCCTTCAAGATCTCACTTTTATGCCTCCAGTTTGTGCCACAGACTGGGATAAGTGTGTATGTACGTATATACCTATAGTTACGTGTTGTTTGTTTGTTTGTTTTTTCTCCTTTCCACATGGTTTGTTGCTCTGGATCATGTCTCATGAGCAGACATTAATGAATGTGAACAAGTGCCTAAACCTTGTGCCTTTCAATGCACCAACACCCCCGGCAGCTTCAAGTGTGTCTGTCCACCTGGGCAACATTTATTAGGTGATGGGAAATCTTGCGCTGGATTGGAGAGATTGCCAAATTATGGTGCCTATTACAATAGCTATAGCTATGCTCAATTCTCCCCTCTGAGAGACAACCATCAACCTCAACAGTATTACAGGCACTCCTCAAATCTCTACAGCTCCTTCTCAGAGTATAGAAACAGCAGAATACCTTTCTCCAGGACGAGAAGGAACGTTAGAGAAACTTGTCCTGAAGGCTATGAGGCAAGGAATGACAGATGTGTAGGTAAATGTCAGTCCTATCTATGCAATTCTCTTGTTTTGGTCCTTATTCTTAGGTTACTGTTTCATATATACCAGGGGCTGGTTTGTGATGCTGTGATTTGTTTGGGTTTTTTTTTCATATTACCTCGATAAACACTCAGTTCTGCATGTTCTTATCTCCTGAGCACGTTGTAGCAAAAACGTTTTCAAACCTCCTCCTTGTAACCTCTGGTTTTCATCGTGTGTTTGCAAATTATTTCCCACTGTTATTCTCCTCCTTCGGATTACAGTAGCTCAGCGCTGTGAATTTTCTCACGCTTGGAAAGACACCAGTAGATCTGGTCAAGTCCTGGGGATGTTGCTTACGCCACGCTCCCCCCGATACACTGATAATCTGGTTCAAAAAGGTTTTGATCAAAGATGTTCCACTTGAGCACACTACAGGACAGTTAGTCACTGCCGTACGGGCAGTAGAAGCAAAAGCTTTTATTTTATCTGTAGTTACGAGACGTAGCAGGTTGCAACGTAATTCCCTGAGCATGGAGAGACCGGTAGTAAGTAACCAAATAGTGGGGATTGTCCAAAGTTGTGACAATGACAGCACTGCCACTTCTTTTTCCCTGCAGAGGAGAGCAGGGTAGTTTCAGTAAGTATTTTAAGAGGTGCAAAGCCTCAGAGCATCCTCTGAGGTCGACAGGAAACAAAGGTGTTCAGCACCTCCAACTATCTCAGCTCGCTTCCTTCTCACTCCAGGACCTTTCCTGAGGTTTTTCAGTGAAATGCTGCTATTTTCATGAGTGCTGAAAATTTAATTCAGCACCTCGTGACAGTGAAAAGGAACAGCAGCCTGTGCTGTTCGCTGACTGATTCCTACTAAATGTGAAGAAATTAAGAAGTTAAACAAACAAACAAACAAAAAAAACCCCAAAGCTATTGCTCAGAAGCTCGACACAAAGGACAGAAAATGAGGTCATCTTTTGAAATATGCTTCTCTTAAGCCAGATTTTGCCAACTTAACTCATATTTTGAGTATCTAAAGAAAGAAAAAAAATAATTATTCGGTTATTTTGTGATGATACTGCTGAGTTCAGGACTAAGGGTACCGCAGTCTGGGCCTTACTGGAGCTCGTCCCAGTGCATTTATGGTAGCAGTTTGTGGTGCTTTAGCACCACTTTAGCTTTAGCACACCTTTATGTGCCTCAAGCTAACATATATGCCAGTGATGCTTCATAGGAGGCACAGTATCCTTCCAGGATAAAGACAGTGATCTACAGCTAGATTCTAGCAACCAGGATCCTTGTCAGAATTATATATACATAAAATATATAATGTTGAATAGATACAGAATATATAATGTTGAATAGATACAGAATATATGATGTTGAATAGATACAGAATATATGATGTTGAATAGATACAGAATATATGATGTTGAATAGATACAGAATATATGATGTTGAATAGATACAGAATATATGATGTTAATGTATGAATATATTTTTATTAATAAAAATTATAGCTAGGCAGACATCAAACCTTGTATTTACATCTTAAAGACATTTCAGTAGTCATATACATGCAGTTTGTTACGGGTACAGCGGTTTAACTGCAAGACCGAGGAATATAGCCACCACTGGTGACAAGGTTAAGCTAAAATCTGTCATCTTCACCCCAGCTTCCAGTTTGAATTAGTTAATATTCTTGTACTTCCATTTCACTGGAATAAACATCTAAATATAAAAATTACTGTTTAATATGAAAAATACACCCAAATTATGCTTTTTTTTTTTTAAAGAAAGTTCTTTTAGCAGACAACCGTCAGGATTTGATAACAACATACTGTAAATTTCTACAGCCACATTTATTTCTCTTCTGTGTTTGCATTTTTATTTAATGCAACCCCTGTAAAGCAGATGAAGAGAGGGGAAGCAAAGACCTTCCTTCCACTGTTTTAATCACGCACATCTTAACTCTTGCACGAGACTAATTCAAGTAGAGTCTCTATTGCTCTCCTGAATTAGGCAGGCATTTCAAAAGAAATTGCAATTATATATGATGGGGGTTGGAACTAGATGATCTTTGAGGTCCCTTCCAACCCAAACCATTCCATGATTCTGTGATCTATGTCTAAACCGCACTAGTCTGCTTCGAAAATGTTACATAAAGTGACCTGGTACTTCTCTATTTGAGAAGGAGATTAAAAAAAAAAGTGAAATAGAGCATTTTTGATAGTCTTTCCAGATGCTGAGCTTAATTCATCCCTATGGCATGAGGAAGAAGAGTTTGGAAGGCAAACAGCTTTGCCTGAGGAGAGATTAACTGTAAGAACAACTCCCCCTCTCTCAAGGCTTCCTCTGGCGAGATAACTCATGTGGACATTTCCTAAGGATATTGCCTAAAACCTTATTATCAGGCAGCTCAGGTTGCATTTGGGGACAAGGCCCCATTTGTGTAACCCCGTTGATGGGTACAGATCCTTCCTGCAACCCTCTCTCAGGCCTGGTCTCCTCCGCTCGAATACGCCCTACGGCTGCTATGAGAAGAGGGGAGGATCTCCTCAAAGCTGGCTTGGATTATTCCCAAGTCCTAAAGGTAAGGTGTGAAAGGACGTGCTAGTCTTACACGGTCAAGCCCATCAGAAAGCAAGACCTGGATGACTTCTACCAACTCTGTCTTGTATGTAAATAGGACAGAAAATACGTCGGTTCCGCACCAGGTTCAAATAATACGTGTTCATGTTTCTTTCCACAGACATAGATGAGTGTGAAACCAGAGACACCTGTCAGCACGAGTGCAGGAACACCCTGGGAAGTTACCAGTGTACTTGTCCAGCTGGTTATCGCCTTACGCCCAACGGCAAAACCTGCCAAGGTACGGAGATCCCTTCGAGCGTTCGGAAATAGATTTGC